CCTCAAAAAAAAATTAAAAAATGAAAATGGAACAGAGATTTAAAGTATTGGACATCAAGTTCCTGTATGGCTGTATCAAACCTATGATAGTTGTCCTCTACCAGGTTTGCTCAAACATCAGCATTTCTTTACATTGTTTCTAGTATCAAACACCAAATCAACTGCAAGGCACTGGTGTAATGATGAATATGCACTTGCAATATTTATAGAGCTTACCCTTCTGCTCAAGCAGAGCAAATACGGTGTATAGGTTACACATTTAATCCATGGTGTTGCTTTTTTAGTCTTAAAGTGTAATCTGCTCGCAACTTGCATTCCTTAACTGCTTATACATGGTATACAGTATGTTACTGGTGAATGTTTGTAGGATTGAGTTTCTAGATTAGTGGATACATTGTCCAGTGATTTATTTGTTATCGACTATTCTAGATTAGTGGATATATAGTACATATTTGTGATCCTTGTTTTGACATGTCGACTCAATTCAATACTACTGGGGATAAATACTCGGTATTCTTTGTGAAACAAAACAAACTTCCTTTTTATTGTTCTGTTACTCACTGTGAAATCTTGAAGTTAACCCCATAGAAACTTTGGACCGGTTTTAACATTTAACATCAAGTTGTGCAATTGGTGTACTGAAATAATTTAATTATTATCTTCTTATCTTTTGGACACTGACTTGACATACCTTCTCTTTATTGCTGATGTGCCCAACCTTCTTGCTTTAGGTTTACACCTTCGTGTTTCTGTTACGAATAATTCCACTAGTGAAACAGTAACAGAACTTGATGAATTATATTTCCCATACCTGCATGTCCGGATAATAAAGATGCAAAGCATGTTAAGACATATGATGTTGCACTGAAGGAGAAAGGCTTTGTAGATGGTCCGTGGTGTCAAAATTATTGGCTAGGGGACAGCTAAGAAAGTTTTGGAAGCTACTCTCCCACCCTCACCCCTAAAAAGAAAGGAAAACCAGTTACAACTAACAGGGCACTGCACCCACACAAAAGTATGCCTGCATGTGCAAAAAAATGTGTGCACTTACTGGAAAAGAGTTTCAATCATCCTTTATGTTGTTCCTTAAAATTAAAATTTGCAGTAAGTTATTCATTGCTCTTGACAGCTGGTAAAGCTGAATCTCCTACCTGATGCATCTGGTTCATTTGTTGAAATCCTTCAACGGTACCCATTGTGGACTTCTGCATGGTTCACCAAAAGGATTTTCAGTCAATGTTGCATCAGCTAATGCCAGTCAGGTTGATATCTTCATGGGATCCCCCTCTTTCCCTTTGGGCAAATGTCACCTCTTCGAGTAGGAGATGAGGTATTGCCAGTACCCAGTGATGAGATGACATGCTTATTAAACATTTGTGTGTGACTGACAGAATACCACTTCGGGTATTCATGTTTTAATTCTTCATCGAGACAAATGATTTTTTTGCGGCAAAACACAAATCAATTTGACTTCACATCAATTTTAGCTTTCCACTTTAATTTGAAATACCGGCCCATTATGTGTTTGCAGGTCCTAACTCAACCTGACCGCAGCTACCATTATCAGTATCAGTCTGCATTTCGTTTGTCTTCAGCAAGATGTTCTTCGGGTCCATGCGTCTCGGGTCATATGACTGGGCTAGAAGTAACGCGGATACTTGATGCTAATACACTCGTGACCTCAGATGGTAAGTGGGAAGTTCCATGTTTTTGGTTTTCTTCTACGGTTCAAGTTCCCATTATTTCTACACATAGCTAAATGACAGTCGACTGAATGTCAAATTGAGGTCAGTCGGTTTTTGAGAGTTCGCCGGAGAAAGGCCGGAGGGGAGGAAGGAGAAGGAAGGGCTCAACGAAGGGCTACCCCATTATTTATCTTAGGGTTTAGGGTGAGGGCGGTGGGGGGGCTTCGCCAGAGAAAAAAAGGGGACACGGGCGGGGCTAGAGGGATGGCTAGCGGCGCGGTAAGACCGGCGGTGGGGGGCGGTTCAGGGGAGGGCGGTGCGGCGAGGCGGTTGCGGGAACGCCCGCGGCCCGGCCGGTGGTAGCAGGTGGCGAGAGGAAGACCGAGCATGATCTGTTTCTGTTTCCAGGAGGAAGAAGACGTGAGCATCACCGTTCGTTTGTCATCCAACGGCTGAAAATGGTCCCAATTCAGTTTTTCAGGCGACTTACGTTTAGCCAGTCCCGAGTTTTTCTTCCGACGCAATCTGCTCTCAGCCTTGGATTCAGTCTGAGAAGTCAATAATCAAAATGACGAGCAGCATTTTTCCAACGTGAGGATGTAAACCTGAAACTAAAGAACATTCATGATGTTCCATGATGTTGCAGGGCTTCTTTGTTTATCCTTTGGGCATCATCGTCTGTGAAGCACATCACAGTGAAGCAGTGACTCGATCGCCTTTTGCTGCTTTTGGTGAGTTACTGTACTCATCCACCCTCTTCCCCAATCAGTTAGGACTTAGGACACCACGATCATTGCCCAATACAGACAGTGATGCCAAGTTCAAGCAGAAATGATGTGAGTGTGACTCAAAGAAAGTTAAAGTGACAAGATTCATTTCAACACAGTGAAGTACAGTAGGACACAAACAGCCCCGGGGGTTTTATCCTCCTTTTCGAGAAAAAAATAGTAGGACACAAACCGGAAACAACACACATATCGATGGTAACTACAAGCAATGCAACGAGCATGTTATTCTCAACACACTGAAAAAAGAGGCTGCAACCCCGCAAACCATGTGCCATTTCATGCACCGGCGGCCGCCGGACTCACGTAGACGAAGGCATCCAGCTCGAGGACGGCGCTCCCCTCACGCCAGCTCGCGGTTTTCCAGAGCACGTACCCCGTCGCCATCCTGAAAACCCCGGTCCCGCCAACCACCGCCAGCTCCCGCTCCGGCATCATGACGTTGTTGCGGCCCATCACGGCCAGCGAGCTCCCGTTGTAAGGCCCGTCGGCGAGCAGGACGTTCATGGTGAGGAGCACCGCGGGGTCGCCCTGAGACGCCGTCACGTAGAATCCCTGGGCACGCCCAACGACTCTCGAGGCCGGCGTAGGGCCCTCCGTGAGGCGGTCGTCCATGACCATTGTGTCACCGAACCGGGCGCTGCCGCCGGAGCCCTTGAGCGGCTGGCCGGTCCCGTTGGCGATCAGAACGGTGGTGGGTTTGGGGCCAGTGCTGGAGTCGTGCATGTAGAAGTGGAGATGTTTGGGGGCACCCTGCGTGCCCACGCCGTGGGCGGCGGAGGCAAAAAGGACGGTGGCCATGCCGGCCGCGAGTAGCGTGGCTAGAGATGCAGAGGTGAGGTGGGAAGCCATGTTGAGCATGCTTGGGAAGAGGCCGGTGTGTCCATGTCCTTAAATAGTGTGAGCCACCCAAGGTCGATCATTAGCCCCGAGGGTAGTCCCACGCTACTCGTCGGCCAACTGATCTTTTGCAAAATCGGCCTAGTCGCGAGCAGTTGGATCGGCACGATCGTGCGGCCCAGCGCCAGGCAGTAGCTTTACGTATTCAAGCTACATTTCTCTCAAAAAAAAACGTATTCAAGCTACATGTAATTAAACTTAATACTAATGGAATAAGTTAGTAAGTTTTTGTGACTGAAACGTGCTGAAAATATAATTTTGCTTTATTTATTTATTTTTAGTTCATAAATGATATTGTTAGAAAGATCCTGACGTGCAGTCTTAGTATTGAAGTGAAAATAATGGCAATAATTATA